AAAAAAAAGAAAAAAAGAAAAAAAAAGAAAAAGAAAAAGAAAAAGAAAAAAGGGACTATGCAGATTCATGGAGTTACTAATTATTGACCTTAAATAGGAGAATTATGGGCCAGCCAAATAGCTCAGTGCATTAAAGTGCCTGCTTAGGCAAATGAAGGAGCCAGGAGTTGGATCCCTTGGCCTGCTGTGCCCAGCCCCGCCCCGGGGCACACTGAACCAGCCATTGAGACTGGGTGTGGTGGTGTGCACCTGTCATCCCAGCACTTGGGAGGCTGTAAACAGGAGGATCACTAGGAGTCCAGATCTACACAGTGAGACCCTGTACACCCTGTCCTAAATTTTAAAAAAGGAAAATTATTATCCTGGGTTTCCTGGGTGGGCTAGACATAGAAGTCTGGCCTTAAATTCACTGTGTAGACCAGGCTGGCCTCCAAGTCTCAGCAATCCTTCTGCCTCAGCCTCCAGAGTGCTGGGATTAAAAGCATGTGCCACCATACCTGGCAGGAGTCCTTAAAAAAGAAAAACTTTCTTTAGCTGACGGACAGATTCAGAGTGAGAGAATGATGTATGGGCTTTTGATGACATCTGCCCACCCCCCCAGAAGCTAAGAAATGATCCCTAGAAAACTGCCAGTAAATGGGGACCTCCCACAACCATGTGGAAACACCTGACAGCCTAGAGACGATTCACTCACACTGGTGGGCCACCAGACGTCAGCCTTGGAACCTGGACCAGAGAAGCCCCAAAGCCGACAGAGCCACGAGATAATAAATACGTACTTTTCACGACACCGTATTTGTGGGGGCTTGCTATTAAGTACTAGAAAACAAGCTTGCTAGCTGTCTTTGGTACTCTTTTCTTGTTGCTGGGACAAAATACCTGACAGCCAATAGTAAGGAAGGACAGGTTTATTTGGCTCACAGTCAGTGGAGTCCATACTTGGCTGGCTCCACGGCCGACTGGCACAGGGAAGAGGGAAGCCATTCATGTCAGTGGAACACAGCAAAGAGCAGAGGGAGGGGCAGCTAGCCAGCCTCTCCCCTCCTTACACTGTAATGCAGATCCTCACACCAGGGCGGGGGCAGCGCTCACACCCATAATCCACACACTGGATCATGGATTAATCACAGACTCTAGAAGCCTCCCCACTGGCTACATGAACCTTTGGGGGGACACCTAGATATAAAACGTAACTTTATATAGGAAGCTCTCTATATAGGAAGAGATGACTCCAAGCACAGACAACTCTCACGAGTGACTGTGGAAGGCAGCAGGAAACCCAGGCAGCAACTGGAGGGGATATGGGGTCAGAGCTTCATCATTTTTATTTATTTATTAGAACTGTGAATTGAACTTATGACCTCACACTTGCCAGGCAGTATCCTTGGCCCCAAAAGCTTCATTTTAAGGCGCTGTGACCAGAAGAAGGGTGCTATCAGACGGGAAGCACCGCCCAGTGACCCAACCTAACACAGATCCAAGGGGAGGGAGTGTTAGGCACTGCCGCGATTCCCCCAAGCCAGGATCACCTTCCCCTCTTGCTCCTTATGCTTCGGATGCTTGCAGCCTACGCCAAGAAACCATCTCACCAGGGCAGCCTGAGGCCTGTGGGCAGCAAAGGGGAGCGGCACCACTGCTCCTCCACCTGGGGCTGGCACCCTAAAGATGACCCTTCCTCTACTGTTCCTGGTACCCCAACTAGACTGATAGCTGGATAGTTTCCCTCCCCTACCTTGTCTCTACTCCAGCTGGCATTTTCCGCCTGAAGCCTCCTTGTTCTGGGGTGCAGCGCTGGGGTTGAACTCAAGGCCTCAGTACTGAGCTCCATCCCCTTATCTTCTTTTAATTTCCCCCCTTTGAGCCTGGGTCTGGCCTAGATCACTTTGTAGTCCAGGCTGGCCCCAAACTCCCAACAACCTTTGTGCCTCAGCCTCCCAGTGTGCGCCGCCTCACCCATCTCATCCTTTTTTTATCTTTTATTTATTTGATACAGAATCTTACTACACAGCTCCGAGTCCAGTGATACTCTTGTCTCAGCCTCAGTGCTGGGATTATAGGCCTGCGCAACCACGCCCAGTTTCAACCGGTTCAGCGGTATGGCAGGAGGTGCCAGAGATAAAACTCTGGTTTCCTGAGTTTGCCAGGCAGGCGCTTAGACCCCCCCCCCCCCGTTTTTTACATAAATCTTGAGATAAGGTCTCACTAAGTGGCTAAATCCCCCAGACTTGGCTAAACTTGCGAATCTCCAGCCTCAGCCTTCCAGATCACAGGAGTGCACCACCTCGCCTGGCTCTGGGATCTCCTCTCAAGTAAGTCAGGTGGCTATGACTGCCTGTTTGGAGTCAACCTCCGGGAAACCTGCAAGAGCAGCGAGCGCCTCCCCTGCCGGAGCGTCCACCTGCTCCGTCAGGCTCTTCCTCCTGCCTCCCTGCAGGACAGGTGTTCTGTGCAGTAAGGCCCAGGGCGGTCCCAGGCACAGGTCTGCTGGCGGCCCTCTCCTGGGGGTTCCCCCTGGCAGGGAGATGGGCCTCTTGCCTCGCTGGGGAGCACACTTCGCAGACACCCTAGGAACCATTCTCCTACACGAACACTACGGGACCTTGGATTTCCGGATCTGCGGGGCTGACCCTGAGCCGGACTGCAGGCTACACGGCCTCCACTCCGAGCCAGACACCGGCCCCACTCGCAGCGGGTTTCGGCTTCTCGGAAACACCGGGAGCTGGTGCGGAGATCCGGAAGGCGCGACAAGGGGTGCGGATCGACGGGCTCCGCAGTCTGGCTGCATCCGGGACGGGCACCCGTAGCCGACCCCGGCGGGCGACAGCAGGTCGTAGGGCCCGCGAGGCGGCGGAGGTAGGAAAGAGGGGTCCAAAAGAAGCTGACCGCACGAGCTCCCGCCTTGGCCGGGCGCACAAAGCTTCCCGCGAAACTGACGTCCCCAGGCCCGCTGCGCAGGCGCCGCCCCCGCTCCACCCCTCCCCCGCGCTCGCCCTTCCTCCAGCGCGCCTGCGCATCAGTTCTTCTCCCATTGGCCTTTGCGCGGCAGCGCGCGCCGGCCGGCGCAGGGCGCACTCCGCGATTGGCCGAGCCGCGGCCGCCGGAGGTGTGTCCCGGCCCCG